TGGGCTTCGGAGGAGCCCCTGGCTCCTTTCTTTTACCAGTTCTCCCTATGTGAAGATAAGTCAAAGGTCCTGCTCGACCAAGGTTGGCTTCGCTTGGAAGCATGGAGGAAATGATTCCTCTGTGTTGACCCTCCTCTTTGTAGGCTGGACACTTGTTCAAGTCCATCTGGTGGGGTCTCCTCAGCCTCCTTGATCAAGAGGGCAGGTGACCCACCACAATTACAGGACATTTTGAGAGATGCTTATAGTCCCCTAGAACTGTAATGAAATGCTTCTTCTAAGTATGTGGTTATTAAATAATAATAATAATAATAATAATAAAGAAGTAGGGGAAGAGTCTAGAAAAGAGGACAGGAGAAGAAAGCCTGCTGTCATGACAGAAAGTGGCATATCTGGGAGCTTTTGAATGATGAGCACAGCCAGAGAATGGAGGAGGAGGGAAAGTGTGGGACAACAAGAGACCTAGGTGAAAGATTAATTAGAATCAGGAGAAGGGGCCTTGAATGCCAGAGTCATACACATGGACCAGAGTGAAGCAGGTAGATCGGGGTGAAGGAGGTGGAGTAGAGTGAGACAAGTGGACTAGAGTGTGGAGGGTGGACTTGGACCAGAGTGAGGAAGGTGGGCCAGAGTGAGGGGGGTGGGCCAGAGTGAGGGGGGTAGGCCAGAGTGAGGAGGGAGGGCCAGAGTGAGGAGGGCGGACAAGAGAGGAGGGAGGGCCAAAGTGAGGAGGGTGGACCAGAGTGAAAGGGATGGGCCCGAGTGAAGGGGATGAGCCAGAGTGAGGAGGGAGGTCCAGAGTGAGGAGGGAGGGCCAGAGTGAGGAGGGAGGTCCAGAGTGAGGAGGGAGGGCCAAAGTGAGGAGGGAGGGCCAGAGTGAGGGAGGGCCAGAGTGAGGGAGGGCCAGAGTGAGGGGGGCGGACAAGAGAGGAGGGTGGACCAGAGTGAGGCAAGCGGATCAGGATGAAGCTGGTGGGCCAGGACAAAGCACAAGGACCGGAGTGGAGAAGGTAAACTAGAGTGCAGAAGGTGAACTGTACCCCAGCAGTAGTGGGGAGTCCCTAAAAGGTGGCTGAGTATCAACATGACCAGGTTTGCTTTGCCAGGCAAGTAGCTGCTAGAGAAGGGAGGACAGCTGGCCACAGACAAGAGAGAAGGAGATCTGAAAGGAAGTTTCGGTCAGGCTGAGGAACCGACTTGACGGCCACACAGAACAAGGGGTCCAGTGTAGACTGGACAGGACTAAAAGACAAGGCAGTTTGACAAAGCAAGTGGAGAAAGGCAGGTGATCATAACTTTAGGCAACAGAGACGCCATGGCTCATTCATTCACTATAATGAACAGCATGGAGACCCTGGGATTGTACAGGTCAGGCCAAGTCAGAGGGAACTCTGGCTATGGAGACATTCAGTGGGTGGCCAGACATTGGACCTGGAGTTCACAAAAGGAAAACTGTAAGTTTAGACACATGGGTGCTGTTCCCATAAAACAGAGAACAGACTCAATGGGCAGAGATGAGCTTGTCCAAGGAGCAAGGACACAATGAAGGGGTTCAGTGTGGAGCCTGGGGGCACTGCAACATGAAGACAAGGGGTTAAAAAATAATCACTGAAGGGACACAAGGGAGGGCAACATAAGGCTAAAAAAAGCAGCTATAGAAACCTCAAGTAGAAAGGGGTGTAAAAGCTTGAGAGAGAGAGAGAGAGACAGAGATTCAGAGAGAGGGATGGGGAGCCAGCCGAGGCTGGGGACAGACAAGGCACGTACTCTCTATTCTCTTTCCCTGATTTTGTTTCCCTGACTTTGTCACATGATTTGTCCTTTATGGGTAAAACATAGCTGTAAAATATAAACACCTTTCTGTAAGTCACCAACCATTCTAAAACAAGGACTTTAATTCTTTGGAGAAATTATCGCCATGAGACAAACAGACACATTTTATGGCTGACCAAGAAGCAAACCAAAGAAGAAGCAGAACACACCAATATTAAAGACCTTCCTTCTGGAACCTTCACAGTCACGGCCACCTCTGGTTCCGAGATGTCAAACTCAACCTGGCCTTCAGAGATCACTTGGTCCTGGCAGCCAAGAACATGGGGGCAAAAGGAAGCTCGGAAGGACCCTGGGAAGACAGGGAAGAGCTCTGTCATACGGTTGGAGACTGACACCAGGCACATGTCATGGGGCCTGACTGTGGTGCTCACCTGACTGTGTTCTTCCTCCAGCCACAAACACCTGCGCTGGGAATGTTGGGTGCTCTGCTTGATAAAAATGGATGACCAAGACATACCGGCCTGGGTGTGGTATGAATCCTCGTAGGGTCTCCTGGCTCTAAGAAGAAGGAAAGGGAAGGGTGGAGCTTTGAATCATTAGCATACGAGAAGTTGCTATGGTTGGTTCCAAGCAAAGCCTGTGATGAGAATTCCTCAATGCAATGTTGACAAGTGGGGCTAGTAGAAGCATTTAGGTTATATGGCCAGAGTCCTCATGAGCAGATTAAAACAATCTTGCAGAAGTGAGGTCTGCTCTCACAGGGTGGAGCTGGTCACCATGAGAGTGGGTTGTTGGGAAGCAGCAGCTGCCTATGTCCTCCCTTCTCTCTCCCTCAGATGCTCAAATGCTACAGAAGCACAAGCTCCCACCATGCAGTGCCTTCTGCCATGTTATGAGACAGCATGATATGCCCACCTGCTTTTAACTTCCTAGCCTCCAGAACCATGAACTAAGAAAACCTCTTCTCTATTTAAATTACCCAGACTCAGGTACCTTGTTATAGTAACTAGTCAAACATGTTTTTAAAAACAAAACAAGGTAGGTATTTGCCCAGATTAAACAGCAACCTATATATTCCTAAAGAAACATTTAATTTGCAAAAAATATAAAAATATAAAAATATAAAAAAATATAAAAATAGAAGGAAACCCAATATCTTATCTAACAAATGGAGAAATGCTGATGGTGTGGAGATGAGGAGTTGACTGGGATAGCCATGTTGGAAGACTGGTGGTGTGTATCAAAGACAAGCATCTGACCCGGCAATGGCATGCCTGGGTACATGCCCAACAACAGAAACACACAGTATGCTTGCCAAAGGGCCATACAAGCAGGCTCCCACCAGTGCTGCTCAGAGGCCCCATGTAAGGAGTCAGCTACCATTTGTGATGGAGCTTTCAAACCCCAGGACTGTTAGATGACAGACTCTCTAGTTGCTCTCTCTCCCCCAGATCAATCAGGCCCTGTCCTGCCAGAAAAGTCTGTCTTTTTAGAGTTCTTAGGCAACTTAGGCCTTGCAGCTCTTACAAAGAGCTGAGTTCCTTCCTTCCCCTTGCAGCTGTGAGCAAGGCCTGATTCCTTCCATGCTGCCTAGACCCAAGAGACCTTGTATTGTAACTAGACTTTGATCAGTGCCTCACTCACTCCTGATATATAGACTAGGTCTCATGGTATAGAACTTACCCCTCTCCATCAGAACCGATAAGAACAAGAAATCCCCGTGCCCTTTATTCTTTGGAACTGAAGGCTCTCTCTCCCTTCAAGACCCATCATGCTTTCTATGATGTGATATTCTAACATTCTGGGTACTGAAGGGAATGGAAGGGTCTGTCCCTTTCCTGTCAGGGTTCATCATGCTGTTCTTGATGGCTATTTCTCCTAAGGAAGCTCTTCCTCCACCTGAAGCTTCACTTTCCCCCTTCAGACCAGGATGCTGTGACCCTTCTAATAAACTCCTCTGAAGAGTCATATCATCTCAACCCCCTTTCTACAAACCTGTAACATCTTTTATTACTTTTAGCACTTACTCCTTTATGTTGTCTGCCTCGCACACTGATAAAAAAAAATTAAAAAAAAAAAAAGCCCAGTTGGTTCCTCCCTTGGCATGTGTGGAAAAGTTCAAACCACACAAATTCCAACCCATACAAAAAAGAGTCTCACCCTGAACTCTACTCACCCACCAACCACAATAAAATCCAGAACTACATTCTTTCTTTTAAGTGGATACACCTTGTTCTCTCTCTCTCTTTTAAAAGACAGATGTATTTATTTTATGTATATGAGTCTTTTGCCTGAATGTATGTACATGCACCACATGCATGCCTGGTGCTCATAGGGGCCAGAGGAGGACACTGAACCCTCTAAAACTGGAGATACAGATGGTTGGGAACTACCATATGGGTCCTGGGAACTGAACCTGGGTCTTCTGCAAGAGCAGCAAGTGCCCCTAACGACTGAGTCATCTCTCCAGCTCACACTCAGCTCTTTTAACACTTAAAAAACTAGATCAACAATAGCACTATGACAGTTATGAAGGATCATCCTTGAATTTCAAAAAAATTTATGACATTTATTTAAGTATTGAGGTGGGCACATATACCATGGCATATATGTGGAGATGTGGAGCTCAGAGGACAACTTTGGGGAGTCTGCTCTCTCCTTCCACCATGTGGGTCCTGGAGATCAAACTCAGGTCATCAGGTTTGGTGGCAAGTGCCTTTACCCACTGAGTTACCTTGTAGGCCTCCATCCTCATCTTTCAAAAGAGTTGCCGCTCAGGTTGGGTAACCAACTTGCTGAAGATGATATACTTGTGCGATGACAAAACCAGGGTTTTGTTTCAACTCTTCTCCCTCAGCTATAAGACCCCATGTGGGATCTCATTCGATTTTAGCTCTCAGATACTATCAGTCTCCAAGCTTGCCTCTAAGTGAACTGACAGGAGCCACCCATAATTCAGAATGCTAAAAGTCCTATGATATTGTGGTTTATGGTAAAAAAAATCATAACCTCACTATATTTCACCCCCTTGCTCTAGATATTCAGTGGTAGATGCTTATCGAGAATTCCCTGCCTGCACATGATGTGATGGTACAGTTGGGGATAACGGAGTTCACTGCCCATAGCCCATCCTCAACTTGGAGGAGAATCCACACTCCATGTCAAACAGCAGCAGCCAGGGAAGATGAGCTACAACTTGGGCTGTGAAAATTTGCTGAGTGCCCACGTGGACAGAGGTGGGGTGGGAAGGGGTACCTGGCCACAGACAGGACTTAACCAGACTTCTACATTGTTTGGTGGTCCACATCTGAGAGTGAAAGTTCTCAAACTCCAAGGGACCTAGAGAGTGCGTAAAAAACACAAAAGGCTGGTCCCACCCCAGAGCCTGTATGTCAGAAGGTTTGGGGTAAGGCTTGCAAATGAGCATCCCAAGGAAGCTCCCAGGTGATGTGGGTGCTGCTGGGGAGGGGAGTGCACTATGAGAACCACTGGGCTAGAAACAGCACACTGGAGGGGAATCATACCTGTGGAGCCTTCAGAGTAACTCCATTCACCACATCTGCAGGCGGGGAAGGCTCCTGGGGTAGGAGAGGAAAAGGCCCCCTACTAGGGGCATCCAAAATTAAGGCTGTTGGAGGAGTTTCATGGACCAGGGAGACACAGATGGCCCTAAAATAGAATATTTTAAAAATGGAGTTTAGTATAACAAAAAATCAGAGATATGTCCATTGGCAATGAGGCAGATGTTGAATACAGAGCCAGTGGCCATCAAAGGGCTCCCAGCAGGGAAACCACAGGATTCTAGAGACCTTCCTATAATGGCGTTAGAGCTGTTTGCTGGTCAAGTATGTTCTGGGCATCTGTTTAACTCAACTACAATATGCAAAATAGAAATGTATTGAAACTTCCTTTTCTTGAACAAGAATTACTTATTAAAATGAAATCAGTGTAATAAATACCCATCTCGGTGCAGAAATGCTGGCATGGGAGAAACAAATGCATGTCATTTCTTTTTAGCACAGCTAAAATGCATTATTTTGGCGGTTTCTAGACTCCTAACCATGCACACCAGGTTTCACGACTAAACCCTTTAATTATTTTTACATCTACAGTAAAACACTCCTAAAACCCCAATGATCACTAATTAGCTGGTTATGATAACATAGCTATGAGATGGATCATTATTTTTGTGGCTTCTCAAAAGAAGAGCCTAGACACAGAGATTAAAGGGTTGAAAAAAAGTGAGAGCTCAGAAGAGAACGTGGCAGACCTGCCCTCAAGGTCTGGGCTAAACCATTGCTGCAAAGTCTGTGTCCTGATACTATGGAATTCTGGAAAACTGACAATTGGGAAGAATCAATTAGTTGGCTTTCTAATTATATGGTTATTAAATAAATAATTTTTTAAAATTGTGTTTGTATCTGTGTGTTTGTATATGTGTACACATGTATGCAGATACACACACTTGTATGTGTACATGGAGACAAGAGGAGGGCATCAAGTGTTCTATCACTCTCTGACTATTCCTGCTGAGGCAGGTCTTCTCCTGAACCCAGGATTTGCATTTCTTTTTTCAGCCTGGCTGGAAGTCAGCAAGCCCCAGTAATCCGCCTGTCTCTTGCCCCCTTGGATCTGGGGTTACAGGCCTGAGGGAGATGCCCAACTTGTTATGGGGGTGCTGGGACCCAAGATCCACTCCTCATAATTGTTCAGCAAGCTTTCTTAAGGGCTAGGCCATCTCTCCCGTCCCTTGGCTCTTCTCTCTATAACATCCACCACTAGCAGCGTCTTGGCTTATAATCATTTCCACATTAAGTAGATGTTATGCATCCCTGATCCAAAACTCAGAGTTCCCCTAAATCTGAAACTTCTTGAGCACCAACACTGTGATACCACAAGTAGAAAATTCTCCTCCTGACCTCATGTGACAGGTCATAATCAAACAGAGGAGCAACAAATGTACTGTATACAAATTTACCCACAAGTGATATGGAAAAAAATTTTATATTGAGACTTGGTCCCATCCCCAAGATATCTCATGTATATGCAAATGTTCCTAAATCCAAAACCCTCTGAAGTTTAAAACACTGTGGGTCCCAAGCATTTCATATAAGGGATCATTAAGTTCCATAAACTTCAGCCTTATGTATACAACTGTGTCATTCGGGATATCAATGAGGAAGAAAGGAAGGAGACACATTACCTTGGATTAACAAGTGGCCCATAGCTGGCAATGCAGTGCACTTGAGGTCTCACATATTCAGCTGAGAATTCTTCAACAGGCATGATACAAATCTGATGCTATGGAATAAATAAGTAAAAGCACACAATAGTTATCGACAAGACCAATGGTACAGTCACACTCTTTTAAAGCAGCTATTAAAGAAAGAATTCATCCAGAAAATTATAATTATTATTTTAAACTAGCAAAATTGCAGTGCACCAAGCTATATAGAACTATCACAGGCAACAAATACTTTATATTGTTATACAGGATCACTGACTAAATTCTTGTTTGAATAATTTCAGAATAAAATTGAACAAAAGTCATGTGAAAGTTCAAAAACAGCTCTTTCCAGTAAATTTTGGTTCTTGTTTCTTCTCTCGTACTTGGGGACAATGCTAACTTTTGAAACACTTTGGGGAAAGAGGGAAGGAGGGAGGGAGGGGGGAAGGAAGGGAGGGAGGGACATGATTTACATGGGGTCTCCAGCTCAGCATGAGGAAGGTGGTATTGGTAAGACAGATGCCCAGTTATTTTATATGTATGCATGTATTGCCTGCATGTAGGTAAGTGCACCTGTGTCATGCAATGCCCGCAGAAGACAGAAGAGGCTGTCAGATCCCCTGGAACTGGAGTTATGGACAGTTGTTAGCTGCCATGCGGGTACTGGGATCCGAACCCCAGTAGAAGCAGTCTTCTTAACAAAGGATGGATCGGATCTCAGCACTCACATAGATGGACTTTAATGAATTTGTCTCCAGTGCTACTTTTGAGTTGAACAAGAAACTTAGCCATTAAGATGTCAGAATATTGAACTTGAAATAAAAAATGTATTGCCAGCTTGATGGTAAAGTCATTCACTAATAACAACAAAAAGTTATGGAACACCACTGAGACTGGGGCTGGGGGAGTCCTTCAAGATAGAGATGGACAAGGCTCCTGTCCCCATGAAGCATCTACTTTAGTCAGCTTTGACATTCAAATGACCTTGGGCTATTTAAAAAATGACAAACTTATGCTGGAAAGAGTAAGAATCAGCCTCAGGATAATTTCTAAAGATGAAGGGCTTAGATTCATTTGGATTGTTATGTTTAAAAAAAAATCTGTGGTTTTATAATACTTTAAAAAAATCTGAATTCCAGTTATTTCTTAAATTCAAAGTTTTTACTCCTGCCAGGCATAAATATTTAAAGTACATTCACCCAGGCATTTCCCAGGGTGTGATACATGCTTACTATTAGCAGTAACAGGAAGCTGTTTCACACTTAGATAATCTTAAATTCTCTGAGATAGTTCTCATAAATCTTGTAAAGCCTTTCCTAGATAGATCCCACTGTTTATCATAACTCTCAGTGATGACATTCCATCATCAGAAGAGTAGGCACAAATGTCATTTCATCTATCCCAGCTGGCATTTTAAATCTTAAACGTATACTGGGGCTGGAGAGATGGCTCAGCAGTTAAGAGCACTGGCTACTCTTGCAGAGGACCTGGGCTCAATTTCTAGCACCCACATGGCAGCTAACAACCATCCTTAACTCCAATTCCAGGGGATCCAATGCCCTCTTCTGACCTCCACGAGCATTGCACTTACATGCACGTAAGCAATATACTTATCTACATAAAATAAAAATAATTAATGAAATATTAAAGAGTATATATTCAATTAACAAAATGATTTCTTTTTTGGAATATAGGGTTTTTTTAAAGCTGGTTATAACATTTTTTAACTTGGGAGCTGGAGAGATGGGTCAGTGGTTAAGAACACTGGCTGCTCCTCCAGAAGACCTAGGTTCAATTCCCAGCACCCACATGGCCGCTAACAACCATCCGAAATTCTAGTTCTATGGGATTTGACACTCTTTTTCTGGCCTCCAGGTCCTGTATGACACAGGTGCACTTACATACATGCAGGCAATACACTCATAAACATAAAAATAATAAATAAAACCTTTTTAATTGAAAATTTTGATGGCACTTACCAGGAAACTGAATAAGATAAAACTAAATAAGATAAGAAAATGAGAATGAAATTAACTGGCAACCAAGGTCATTTCTACACTCTGGCAGTAATAATAAAGCAGAAAATATAATGAGAAAAGATATTTCATTATAATGATTATAAAAATCAGTGAAATGGGGTTTGTGGAGGTGTATTCAAATTTGATGAGTACACTTTATGAGATAATATTAAGAAGACTCAAACAAAGAAACAGGTCAGACTCTAGATAGAAAAAATATGCAGAATACTGGCAAAGGTAAATTTTATAGATGCAATCCCAGTCACAATTTTAATAAGCTTTTAAGAAACAGAGATGGCAACAGAAAGCTTCTAATGTTCCATGGACCAGACAGAGGCATACCAGAAGAAACTGGGCCGTGTGCACCTTGAGCTCAACATCTGCATCTGCTAAGAGTTCGTACACAGCCACACGACCCAATCCATCGATCACGATACTCCTGCACAGAATGCTGCAAAAGGGAACAGAGTTTTCTTAGCCTCATGCCCGACATCTCCCTGGATGTACATCTGATGGCTCTTCAGTTTTTCCTCTTTAAACTATTTTATTTATTATTATAACTGAGTGAACAACATTCAGTTTTCCTGCGTGACAAGTTGAAAAGGGATACAAAGCTATGATGGTTTCAATGTCCCCTACAAAACTCATTTTGTGATCTTTAACAGGTGGTTAGGTGGTGGGGGCTCTGCCCACAGGAATGGGTTAGTTGTCATGGAAGAGGTTTTGTTATGAAAGCAGACTTTCATGTTTGTTCACTCTTGTCCTTCCACCTTCCACCACAGAATGACTCAACACAAAGATCCCCCACCACATGGTGGCTCATTCTGTCAGACTTCCCAGCTTCCAGAACTATGAGAAATAAACTTCTGTTCTTTATAAAGTTCCCAGTCTGTTATTTTGTTACAACAGCACAAAGGGATTACAACACTGGTCACAATCTCTATGGGAAACGAACCTTCCTTCTATGGCCCCTGCTCACCTTTTCCACTTGGACTGATGGAATGTGTGGGCTAGTCATCAAGAGATGCCCCAAGGATGATGATGGCAGAGCTCTTCAAAATTTATCAATGGACCATTCATAATTCAGGTCACCCACCAAGCACCTTCCCATACCCAGTCAGTATGGCTGGTTTATGTAACTTGGGGAGGGGGGAGTAACCCAGATTTGGCCTTTAAGACAACATTGTCATCCTCCTCCTCCCCCTCCTCCACTACCCCTAGTGTCCTGCCCTTCTAACCCATCAGGTGAGTGACAAGTTTGAGAACACTTAAAAGATCACCAGTTTTGAAAGCATGCATAAGACCCATGCAAACACAATCTGACAAAAACCGAGCATAAACTGGGGAAATGGGCAGGAGACCCCCCCAACGTTAGCTGAGGAACTATTGGCAGTTGATTATTGCTGGGTGAGGGAGAGTTGATGTTCTTTAAGAGTGAAACTCTAGATAGGCTAACTAGACTCCAGTGGATGAACTCATCTGGAATACCCAACTTGATTCAATAGGTCTTAACATATATGACAGAAAGCATAAAATTGGTGGGAAGGGCTATATGGGGGTATGGATGGTCTAAATATGATTAAGATGTATTTTGTGAAATGTAAAAAACTAAGTAAAAATATACATTGAGAACAAAAGATCACCATTTTGCAACAAGGAACACAACTCTAACATTAAAATCCATAAAGGAAGGGTTTCAGAATGGTGCTTCTGGATTCATACTCGCTGGCAACTTTCTATACATCTAAGATGGAGCTAGTGTATGTTAGACAAACAGCCATTCCTGATAGACATCTGAAATAATTTAGGCAACAAGCTGGGCATGGCAGTACATGACTTTAATCCAGCACTCGGGAGGCAGAGGCAGACAGATCTCTGTGAGAGCAAGGCCAACTTGGTCTACCTAGCAAGTTCTAAGCCAGCTGGGGTTATAGGGAGACCCTGTCTCAAAAAGACCAAACAATTCCAATGTTGAGTTTTTAATGATTATTTTAAATGTTTATATAGTTTGTTTAGTAAAAATTTTGCATCTCAAAGTATCGTTTCATATTGTGGGACGAGTAAAGCGTTCAGATTGGCTAATATTTGAATTGTAAGTTTTATATCAAGTTCAAGATGTGGTCAGTACACTAGTGTTTAACCTCTGTATTCTAATTTGTATACTCTTTGAAACTGTACTGAAAAACCATTGTGTGCTTATACAATATGTTTCATATTGTCTATGAAATTAAAGAACGTTTGATTAAAAAAAAAGACCAAACAAAATAAAACAAAAATATAAAAAAACAGGTATGGTGATGCACGCCTTTAATCCCAGCACTCCAAAGGCAGAGATGGGAGGATCTCTGTGAGATAGAGGCCAGCCTTGACTACATAGTGAGTTTCAGGCCAGCTGGGGCTACAGGGAAACCTTGTCTGGAATTTTTTTTTCAATTTAGGCAATGACTTTGTGGTAATGATTAAAAGGAAACAAAAATACATAAAGAGTCAGGCAAAATTTGGGCTTATATTAGAAACAATAATCTGAGTGCCTTAAAGTACATCCCTTTCAGATTAAAGTGTAATCCTGGGAGTTAATACATTGATTTGCTTAAATTTTGTTTTAACATTATCCTTTATTAAATTCTTTTAGTATTTTATTTATTATTTTTATTTTATGTGTATGAGTGTATTGCCTGCATGTATGTGAATGCACCTGTGTCATGCAATGCTGCGGAGGTCAGAGGAGGGCTTTGGATTCCCTTGGACGGTTCGTAGTCGCCATGTGGGTGCTGGGAATCAAACCTGGGTCCTCTGAAAGAGCAGTCAGTGCTCTTAACCGCTGAGCAAACTCTCCAGCCCCCCAACCTTTATTAAATTCTTACTAAGCAATAGACCATCAGTAATAGATTTATTCACTAAGGATCATTTCACTATGGAGAACAGACTTGATTTATCACAGCGCTATTCTGAAAAGTGGTGTTCCATCTCTGTTTTGCTGAGATACTATTTTTCTGACAAAGTTGTTCGAACTCATTTGAGACATGAAAAGTTCAAACCTCAGCAGGAGATGGTGCAATGTTGAAAAGGCCTGTCATTTAAAATAGATCTTTATGGGTCAAATAATTGCTATATTTGTGGACTCCGATCCTTGTAGCCTGTTTATTTTTACTTGTTCCTTATGACTGAAGAAATAGAGAAAAAGGAAATACTTCATCCGGGTGAAAAAGTACAATGGCGGATTCTTCCTATTGAGGTATGCCTGCTTCCTTACCCAGCTGTCTCATGCATGTTTTATTTTAACATCATTCTCTTGCCTTTGCAAACAGATCATCATAGCACATGTATATAACTTACATGTAATTGCTATTTTTCTAGGGTTGTTGACTACCTAATTAAATGGCTTTAACATTGAAAAAATACAATGGAACTTCCACAGGAGTAGTAAAGTACAAAGCAGCACACTGGTTGTGCTGGATAGTTTTTATTGACAACTTGACACAATCTGGAGTCATCTGGGAAGAGGGAACTTCAATTGAGCAATTTCCCAGATCAGATTGGCCTGTGTCCATGTCTGTAAGAGAGTGTCTTGATGATTAATGTGGGAGGTCCCAGCTCACTGTGGCTGGCACCATTCTTAGGCAGGTGGATCTGGGCTGTATTAAGAAAGCTAGGTGGGAAAGCCAGATGTGTCAGTAAGCACTGCTCCTCTGTGGCTTCTGCCTAGTTCCTGCCCGGACTTCCCTCAGTGCTGGACTGTGACCTGGAAGTGTGAGCCAAATAAACCCTTTCCTCCCCCACGTTGCTTTTGGTCTTGGTGTTTATCATAGAAACAGAAAGCAAACTACAACATTAGTCTAGCATAATACTGTCCTAGAGTTCTAATGATAGAGACTTGGAAAACAAGCTCTGGTGTCAACATGTACAAAATGATCTACAGAACGCTACACAGCTCTCCCTCCATAGCTCTAAGTAGACATCTTTCATGGAACCCTGCAAGTGCATCCTTCCTTTCTTTGGTCTTGCAATCCCTCCTGTCATGTAGGTGTGATGGCACATGCCTATCATCTAAGCACCTGGGAAGTTGAGGCAGGAGGATCACAAATTCAAGGCTAGCCAGGCTTGCATAGCAAGATCCTGTCTTCAGGATCTTGAAACCCCTCTTTCCTTGGAAGAGATGTTCTTACAACACTTCTGAGAAAATCCAGAGTCACCAGATCACTATGAATATTTCCTTTGATCCTCAGCCACCTCTATTCAGATCCTGTGAAACAGAAATCAAGCCTTTGATCTGAAGGATGGGAAGAATCTGAGAGCTGAACAGCAGGGTGGGCTCAGAGGAATGTGGGGGTGGTGAAGAAATTCTCCTTCAGATTCTGATCAATACTCCAGGACTCAGGGCACATGATGCCCTACCCATCTGGGAGTGAGCATTAGTGTCCATGCAACTCACATGTCCACATAGTTCTGAGGAACTATTTAAGGCTCATCTCATATACTTCTTAAAAATCCACATGTAGAGTTGGGGATGAAGGCTCAGCGGAGCACTTGCCTAGCATGCATATGACCTTGGGTTTGACCCCAGCACCACCACACGGCCTTGAACTTGACCCTCAGCAGGATAAACACACACACACACACACACACACACACACATCCAAATACGGTTCATGGGTTTACTTCCCCTCACTCCATACACAAAGTCCTCAGAGCTATATTTTTATACTGAGGGCATAACATTAATTCAATAGACATTTTATCAGCTGTCATAAAAATGTCTATGATAAGCCACTAAAAGCTACTTTTCATATAAATTCTTACATTTTCATATCCAGGAAGATGTTCAACTACTTTAGGTCATCTTGGGTTTCCCACAAGCGAGACAAAAATTGGGGCAATAAAATGTTCAAAGCCTTGGACAAGAACTTTGTGTGAGTTTACTACAGTTTTCCACCTGCTGTGTCAAGGGATTCCAACTTCCAGTGCCATTAATCATACTTTTAGTCTCAATGCAAACATCCTTTGTGCTGATTTTTTTGATTAACAAATGTTCTTGAAATATTATGCAAAGAAAACCATTTTTAGTAAGCCCTTGTCAATTAGCACTCTTGGGACAAGAACTTCATTAGGGCAAATTTTAGAGCTTCTGCCCCTTTTTACTCACCTAGAAATCATCGAGCATTAATTATGCCCAATTCTGAAGGTATGCTGTGAAGAGAAATGTGCAGCTGCTAACAAAATTAGGAATGAGGTTCTTTCCTCATGCCACACAGTTGTGTACTTGACAGAGCCTTTGCGGTAAGAACTCCCAAGTTCACCGCACCATGATGGAGTGACAGAGAATGGGCAGCTTTGTGTGACTCTGAACCAAATTTCTAGATATAGCCTACTATTTCTAAGAAAACAGTATTTTTGAGATGCTGCACACAGAGAGGCTCCCAATACCCATGCTGGGGATGATGTTGTACCCTTTACCTAGTCACCTGCTGTTTTCCAGATCTGCCTCAAACAGAAATGAGTCCAAAGTAAATAATAGCCAAGGTTCCCCAGACAGATGTCCCATCTGCTCCTTGGTGGAGGAATTCTGGGGGAGGGCTGATTACCTGTATTTGCAGCTGTATATATTCACCTGACCTGCCAGGACAGACCCGGGGCTCATCACATTCACATCCACCACAAACAGCTGGTCTGCTTCTGAGGCATACTCCAGCATGACTACATAGCGGCCGATCTGGGGGACGTGCAGCTGCAGATGCAGTTCCACCTGCCGAGGGGCAAGGAGACGAGCATCATCCAGATGTGAAATACTATATATGTTTGTGTACATAAAGGCAAAGACAGAGATGACACCCAAAACACTGTCTTACACAGCATAGTAAGAAATGTGGTCCTGCAGAGAGGACTGTGGAACAAAACACAGAAGCCTGTTAAAATTCCAAGTCCGGGTTAACACTGCAGGATCATTTGTTTGTTTGAAATTTCGAAGGGCATCTGACATTTTATTTTCTAAGTCCGGCAATTCTGCGTATGAGGGCTTCTGCTCCTACTTGGGGATGTTTGAGCTGCTTGTTTCTTGGGTAATAAACACTCCTAAATGCAAGTAATAAGGAATCACCAGTAGACACTAAGTGGACTGAAAATGTCCCTGGAGGTTTCTTAATTGCTATTATTTTTTTGAAAAAAAAAATGTTTTCAATTATCTGAATGAAAATACTGTCAAAACAACACACACAAACTCCTCCTGGGACGAAGTTGGTAACTTGGTTTTTATACTTTCAAATCATTTTCTGTGGCTGACATATGTACTCCAATCCCTTTTATTTATTCTTTTATTTGTTGTTTTTTTAAGAACTTCATACAATGTATTTTGATCATCTTCAGACACGCTCTCCATCTTTTGTCACGTTAGCAAGCTGGGATGCCCTTAGTCCACAATGATAGAGATTTTATGGCCTGCAAAGCTGGAGACATTTACTATATAGCCCTTTTCTAGAAAAGTGTGACCTCTCACATCAATCATGAATCTGGAGTTTGTGGTCCAGAATCAGCCTACCTCCAGCTGTGTGATTTAGGGCTTCTGACTTAGCGTCTGTGTCAGGTCAGTATGCTCCTGCACAAAGTGAGGACAAGAGCATCTATGCCTAACATCGCTGTGAGGGTAAACTGAACACCTCAGGGTTCTAACAACCATTTGTAATATGTAATAAGTACTACATGAACACTGATGGTCATAATTGTGATTGGTTTTTTCATGATTTTTTTTAGTTAACCTTTCATTTATTTTATTTTGTGTATTTATGTGTGTGCACAGGTGCACATGTGTGTGGATACACATATGTGCACATGTGAATAGAGGTTAGAGATCAACCTTAGGTGTCATTCTCAAGTGCTGCCCACCTTGTTTTCCTTTTTTTAAGAGAGGGTCCCATTGCCCTAGAGCTCACTGACTAGGCTAGGTTTCCTGGCAGGAAGCCTCGGGAATCTTTCTCTACCTCCCCAATGCTGGGATGGGATCATAAACAGGTACGACAACACCCAACTGTTTTACAGGGGTTCTAGGGGGTTGAACTCAGGTCCTCATGCTTTCAAGGCAAACACTTTACTAACTGAGCTATTACTCCAGCTCCAGTATTTCATGAGTCTTTATCAGTACATACATATATAGTTCATCTTTCTAATGGCTGCCTCGCATTCTATAATGTAAAATTATTTCAATGTTTTCCATTTGATGGACATTTAGGCTGTCTCCTATAACATACAATATCATATATGTGTGCAATATATGCACACACATACATACCCTTATGCTAGTATTTCTATAAGATCCTAGATTCCACAACTCCTGGATTAAAGTATTCATACACACGTGATGCCTGCGGCAACATTAGAACTTCATTCCTTAGCTGCATAGCCCATCTCAGCCAATAAGCTCAGATCCAGCCAAGCTCTACCACACTTAATTAAAATGGTTCTCCTCCTAGCCTTCAGGAAAGTCACATATACTGTTCCTTCCAAACAGCTTTGAGCCACATGACTGCTATTTTCCACAGTTTTGTTTTGTTTTTTTGACCATTTAAATAGCAGAAAGACTTCCCTCAGGGGAAATATGGATTATCTGCCTACTTTTGACTCTGTTACGGTGGGAGGTCCTGCCCTGCCTCTGGCCCATGTGGAGAGGTCATTAACAGCCTCTCTTCCCCAGGCATCTCCAGATAAAAGCTTGTGAATCTCACCCAACCACACAGCAAACTCCTGCCAATGACTTAACAGGACTGCTCCCAGAGGTCATCATTGGCTACAAGTTTTATCACAGTACTCTTATAAATTTCTATTGCCATCCTACTGTGAGCCCTAGTGACTGGTTTATGGAAGACTGGTTGGATGAATTTAAAATACATTTGAAGGTAAAAGCAGGTTTTGAGGAACTAGGATAAAACAGAAACTTTATATTTGTTGTTGGTGTCCGTTATTTGTCTTTTTTTTTTTTTTTTTTTCGGTCTTTTTGAGACAGGGTCTCTCTGGAGCCCCAGCTGTCCTGGAACTCACTATGTAGACCAGGCTGGCCTTGAACTCATAGAGATTCACCTGCCTCTGCTTCCTGAGTGCTGGGATTAAAGGCGTGCACCACCATGCCCGGCCCCCATTATTTATCTTTTTAAAAGGGAACTTGAGATGGAACCAGTGTCAAACTGGTTTTCAAGCATAGGACTTCTCTCTTAGTTACTAGTGTAGGGTAAAGGCACGGAAGGCAAGTTTATCAAATTTGCTGCTTATACAAAGCCAAGAGGGATAAACTCTCATCTCTGATATCAAATGGGGATTCAAATAATTTGACCAGCAGTGTTACTGGATAGCTGCTGTGACAAGTCCACCAACTAGATGGTGGGCATCCAACAGGAAACAAGACAGGATTGAGCTCTGCTCTCAGACAGACTATGATCAAATACTTAGGCAATTAGACAGTTACAGTGTAAGCTACCTGTGTGGTAAATTTTCTGAAGAGGTGCTGTTTCATCCAAGATGGAGGACCTGAGCTAGTCAGGAAGATGCAGGAGAAGAGACTTCCCCCAAAAAGGAATGACTTAGCTGGGCATGCAGGACAAGGAACAGATTACAAATGTGGAGGGAAGGGAAGAACGTTCAGGCAGAGGGACTACTCTGTGGTAGGAGACACTACTACAACTTAGAATGCATCCAGGCCACATGTATTGCAGGTCCAAGAAGCTGAAGGCAGACCAGGGTGGCCAAGGAACACAGAGCAGGAGGTAGGATGACACAGCTGGTAGGTAGAAAGGGCCTTATAAACATGTGTTAGGATTTTTGTCTCTATCCTAAGACAGACGAGATGTGTGTGTGTGTGTGTGTGTGTGTGTGTGTGTGTGTGTGTGCATGCGTGCATTCAGGTGTATAAAAGCAATATGTGTGGAGGTCAAAGGACAACCTGACATGTCTGTTCCTGCCTTCTACTTTGTTTGGGACAGGGTTTCTTGTCCTCCCCTGTGTATACCTGGCTATCTTGCCTCAAGTTTCTGGGCATCCTCCCATCTCATCCCCAATTCCCACCTCACTACAGAAACAAACTCGGGTCTTCACGCCTGTGCAGCAAGCACTTTATACACTGAGCTATCCCCCCAACCGGAAGCTAAGATATTTCTTAGTGGAGGAGAGCAGGAATGGGAAAGTTGATTAGGAGGCTGCTGCGGAGATCCTCCTGAAACATGAGAGTATCTGATGAGAATTCCCGATATGAGTCTTGGCACCAGATAGGTCAGATTTGGGGGCCTTGCAGATTATGGAATACTTGCATATGCGTAATGAAATAGTGTTATGATGTGGATGTGGAATGTCCTTCCATGAGCCGTTTGCGCCCCCCCCCCCCAGCTGGTGACACTGTTTTGGGAGGCATGGCCTAGCTGAAGGAAATGTGTCTCTGGAGGGCAGGTGTGGAGGTTTACAGCATGACCTTACTTCCTGTCCCATCTCTACTTCCTGATCCACTCAAATATGAGCAAGCCCCTCACCCTCCTGCAGTCACAGCCACAAGCCATTCCAGTACCAATGAATTCCCTGCCATGAGAGGCTGCATCTTCAAACCATGGTTTATAAATTCTTTTCCCTTAGATTTATAATAAATCCTTTTCTTATCAGGTATTTGGTTACCACAAAAAGAAATACAGATACCTTGGGGATGAGACTAAAATCTAAATATATCTTTTACTTCATACGCAAGGCCATTGAATCCAGCAACAATAATATAAAAAGAATTCTTGTACAGAGAAGGGAAATATAATATCTTCAGGACTTCTAACTCTGTAACTTTGAATTTCAATACAACAATGCTTGTGCAATGACAAAAATATTCTATGATCTGTACTGTTCACTAGACACGTGATTATTGACACCTTGAGATGTGGTTGGTACAACTGAGGGCTATTTCAGCTATACTTAAGTTTAATTAATATTTAATTATTTCTGGGGGCTGTTCCAACTCAGCTATAACTCTGTTGTCTAGCTAAAATACACATAATACACATAAATATACATATGCACATATTCATGTATTATATATCTATATGTATAAGTGCATGCCCACATAGGTATATGTGTGCATACAGTATGGATAGAAAGGGATGCAGTAAATTTAATTTTAGAATGGGGTAGAGAGAAGAATAGTTCATTTTCCTCTATATTTAATTATATTTGCTTACATTGTTTTACTTAGTACAATAAGCATATATCATAAAATAAAATTCTATTCAGATCATATACTGTTAAATATATTTTATTTATTTTTATTCTATATGTACATGAGTGTTTTGCCTGCATGCGTATAAGTGCATCCATGTCATGGGCACAGAGGCCAAACGAGGGCATCAGAGCACCTGGAACCGGAGTTAGGGAAGATTGTTGGCTGCCATGTGGGTGCGGGGATCTGAACCTGGGTTCTCTGTGAGAGAAGCCAGGGCCCATAATCTCTGAGCCATCTCTCCAGGCCCCAAATGAAGATTATATTTAAGAAACATACTTGATACCCTTTGCTGCTTCCTTAAAAATGTTAGGATGTAGTTTATAAAATATACATATCTAAATATCCAGGAAGAATTAAGGTCACAGACATTTTAATTTCACACTTTTAATCCCCAAATGATTTATTTTCTTCAAAAGTTCAGAACAGACAATATTATCAAAAGTGAAAAATGAGGTGCTGGAGAGATGGCTCAGTGGTTAAGAATACTAGCTGCTCTTGCAGAGGACCCAGGTTTGGTTCCCAGTCCCCATACATGGCAGCTAACAACTATCTCTGACTCCAGTTCCAGGGGATCCAACACTGTCTTCTCATCCCCAAGTGTATTGCATACACGTGGTACACTCATAAACATGCAAACAAAACACTTATATACATAAACGAATAAAAATAAACAATTTTTAAAGTAAAGAATGAAAATTGGGAGGAGGAATCTGTTCCTCAGCATCTGAATTTGAGTTGTGATGTATGTTTTTATTGTTGATATGCTATATCTTTAACTCAAATCTGCTATCAGTAAATTCTTATATTTCTTATGTGGTTGAGAAGAGATGCAATGTCCCAACCTGTCCTAACTCGTCCTCCCAGTCATGAGGCAGCTGCCTTGGGGTGGAGCAGTTCCAGGCTGTGAGCTCCAGGAATTCAGCTATTACGAATTGCTTAGCCTACGGAGTAGGACAGTGAGGAACTGTTATGTCCTTTTAGGGTAAACCACGACGTTTCTGGAGGCCTTTAAAATTGAGTCTCATCCATCATTTAAGAGAGATTATGCCCTGAGTCAGATAGAACAGGTAAACAAAAGAAAAGGATTCTATGATTGTGTATGGCTCTTGCCACATCTAGAAAATACTCAAAGAAAACCTTAGCACAGCTCAGTGTGGGTACCATCTAACCCCAAGTCAAATCAGTGAATTTAGCACCCATTGATCAATACCTCTGAGAAACCCTCTGAATTTGAGAAGTAACTGTGGCCCAGCATTCAACAGACACAGACAGAGAAGTAGCATTAGCTTTGACAGGAAATAAAAGGTGGCCCCACCTCTCTCCCGCTGAGGTCCACCATGGCTGGGTATGCAGGGGTGGGCTGCCTCACTGCCAAGGGTCTCAGCTCCCCATCAAGCAGGAAGTGCCTGGCCTCACAAGCCAGGGTACAGGAGAATCTGGTCACTGGCAAATGCTGGTAAAGCAAGCAACTTCAACAACAAAACACAGTCGTTACAACAGAGAACATCAAACAGAATGCCACATTGCATCGCAAGGACTCAGTCATTCAATTCACTGAGCCATCCGTGCCATCATTCCATCAACAAACTCAGTAAGTGGATGCTACAGGTACTGAGCAGTGCGTTCTCATCCTCACCAGGAAGGGAGGAGACAAAGGTCTGAGAACCTGGATTCTAGTTTAAGCTTTTCCCTCACCAGATGCATGACTTGGAGATTTTTTTTTTTCAGGCATTCAACAAGATTTCCACATGCACAGGGCAGTGGCCACTCAGAATCCAGCTATGGCATGCAAGGTGATTTGAGATTCTTACTTGAAAGATACAAGTAAGGCTCCGAAGAGAAAACATTATAACGAAATAGCATTCAGGGTGTCCTGTGTCAGTTGGGATCTTAGGGTCTATCATTAGCCCTTGCACTCAAGGTATTCAGTAGCCTGATGGCATTGTACCCACTGCCCCATACTTGTCCTGAGGAGATCCTGCGTGGGCACAAGGCTCTGTAACGGGCAACTGCAGCGTGAGTGCTTCATAGTAGTCTCTGGGTAGCAGCACCAAGTAATCCTACCAAATGAAGACCAAAGAGACTGTTACTCATTTTCTAGCAGCTCGACTTTGGTCATAAAAGTCATGAAACATGCTTGCTAAGTGAATAATAACCAAGGGAAGTCACAGGGGAGCTTCCATTTCAAATCAACTTCTGTTCTTCACCCTGACCCACCAGAACCCACGGGGCACTCTCCCACTGGTTCTTCGCCACCTGGGGAGCAGCTGGGTGAACATTTGTTTCTTTCAGATCTCATGGGGAATGTTACTATCTCTTCTGGATTGTTTATAAACCAAAAAAAAAGATCAAAGATAATGAACTGCACATCGCTAAGATGCTCCTCTGAAAAGCTGTTTGCCTTCATCGCTACAGAACAGAATCCATGAAGGCAGCTCATGGATTGTGCCTTTCTGCTCCCACCCCGGAGCAACGCTCACAGGGCATGGTGTAAAAAGTGAGGTTTTGTGATGTTGGTGACTCACAGATTGGAACTGGCTCACTGCCTAGCCCACCAAATGGAAGGAAGAACATGTTCCACCGACCGTGCCAAACAAAGCCTACAGCATAAATTCAGCTAAGCAACCCTCCAGAAAAGAGCAAAGCTCTGGGCTTTAAGACACGGATGGCTTGACAGCTTTCCAGGGATCCCAGAGCTGTGGCTCCACCTCATATGTGCAGAGGGGAGGGAGGGATGTTTCACTCAAGTGCAGGAGACTCATACATGGCCCATAATGCATTTTATCTCCTCAAGAAGAAATGTCTGGGAAATGAAAGGAGGAAACTGTGACTCGGGGCCCTTGGTGGCCTTATTAGCTGGGTGGGTTTTAAACAGTTACTGTTCTATTACCCATTTTTCTGAGGTTGGGTCCATATCTGTTCTTTACATGACCCCAAAGACCAGTAAAGATGGATGTCAGGTGCTCAATGACTTACACTTAGGGAAAAATGGACTTATAATGGGGCACTTACAAACATATTACTACGTAGTTAAATATGTCAAGTATCTTCCATGCCTAGGTAGTAACTTGTAATAATCTTTTCTTTACTCCAATTTTATGCCTGTTATTGACAGCAATGGAATGTTCCTCTTCCTCCTTTCTAACATCTGTGAAGCATTTTTAAATTTATTTTTTAAGCAGTAAAGTTTTCTGCTGAGAAGGAACAAGAAAAACATGCAGGAAAAAAAACACAGACTGAAAGAAAACCACAGATCACACACTATTTTCATTAAATCTCATATTGGAAGACACACACGGATAAGCATTGTCTCCACTGTTCAGGAGAAGCCAGTGAGGCAGACTCTGAGTTAAGGAACCTATGATTCCTTGATGTGGTCAATCTGTGGGGCTATGCCTGAAAGAAAGGTTTTATGTTTTTTGCTTAAAGCACATTAACATCAAACTTTTACCAAGGACTTTCTCAATAGCTTTGCTATGAACTACAGTAGGCCTGAGGCACAGCTCAAAGAGGGGTGTCTCAGAAATCCCCAGCACTCTCTGGCTTTATGTGGATGAAGAGTTATTTGTCAAATCAGTTGGTCAGACCCTTGGCTAGGTGTGAGGTGAGAGCGGGAAGGGTCCAGGGAAAGGCCTGGCTCCAGCATCCTCTTCCTTTTCTTGGCACAGTTCTGGATCTCACTGGCATTGGGGTCTTCCCATTGCTTCATTATGCACGGTCCCCAGGGGGGCATCCTTTTTAGGTGCCCTTCTGATTCATAACGGGAAATAGCGAACAAATTCTAAAAGGTGAAAGTACATGTTTATAAAGGCTTTGCTTTTTTCTGAAAACTTTGAGGTATAGCTTGATTACATATAGATGGATATGTAGATTATCTGTGTCCAAGAGAAGTTGGATGGAAGTATATTAGATATAATTTAGGTAAATTGCTCTGTCACTATGTGCTCTGAGGGCAAAAGTCATTTTAGTTTCCTATATAGTGAAAGGGAACAACATATGATTTTGATGTCTTCTTGTGGGTCACTGTGGTGGAACAGACCATCTCAAGAGAACATTCCACAGAGCTGGCAATTCTGAATTTGTCTTACCAGGAGGACTCCTTCTGCCTGAATACAAGCGATCCACGTTCCTGGTGTCATTGAGAATGGGTCTGCAAAGCCATTTCCAGGGGCAGTGACAAATGCTGGCTCCTTACTGGGTAGAAAAGTGATCTCTTTGGTTTGAGCAGCACCTATCAAATGTACAAATAATAGTTTAAGACATCTTTCTAGAAGCCAGGATTAAGATTTTCAGATAAGGGGCTGGGGAGATGGCTCAGCAATTAAGGAACATCCCTTGTTTTTCCAGAGGGCCTGAGTTTGGTTCCCAGCACTCATGTTGAGTGGCTCACAACTGCCTCTCACTCCAGGTGCAGGGTATCTCTTCTGACCTCCACAGGCAACTGCATGCATGTGTGCATACTAACACACAGAAACATACATACATACAATTTTTTTAAAATAAATCTTTTCTTTAAAAGATTTGTGGGCTGGAGAGATGAATCAGCAGTTAAAACACATGCTGCTCTTAGACAGGACCTAGACTGGGTTTCCAGTATCCACATGGCAACTCATGACCATCAATAACTCCAGTTCCAGGGACCAAATGCCTTCTTCTGGCCTCCATAGGCAAAAGGCATGCATGTGGTGCACATACATACATGCAAACAAACACCTATTCTCATAAAATAAATAAATCTAAAACAGTTTTGAAAAAAATACTGTTAAGATGATAGCAGTGGCTGTCGGAGTGGACTGTAATTTTTCCGATGTATTATATATGTAAGTATGCTAATACCTACATATATATTTGAAATAGTGCAAGCTATGTAGCCCTAGCTGGCCAGGTCTTGAACTTGTTATCTTCCTTCTTTTCCTCTCAAGTACTAGGATGACAGGTACGTGCCACCACATTTATCCAATGCCTATAATCTTTAGGAATGTTCTCTTTACATAGTATATGTCCACTCTGTTATACTGCCTACTAAATCATTTTTTTCTTTCTTGTTTACAGGAGATTTTTAATTTTTATTTTTATTGATGAGCAAACATTCAGTTTGCAATTAGAAAACACTCTGGCTTCCTGTTTGTTTCCAGGGTGTAGGGTATTTCCTCCTGTATTAAATAAAGGACCTTCTGCAGACAAACAAATGTCTTGTGCCTGCATCTGTGTTTTCCTGAGAGGAGATGTTTGCACCAATATTTACATTCACTTTCATTCTATAGACATTTACAAAGCCCCACTGTGTGCCAGGCCCAGAATTCTCTGGGGACAATGCAGTGAACACAGAGGCATGGCCCTTACTCCCTGATGGTGGGGACATGAGACGTGAGGGATATAGATCAGAAAGGATAATGAGATACAGTGTGGACAGTGGTACTTGAGGAGGCATACATTATCTTAGGACTATGTAGCTGGGCTCCTGATTCAGACTTAGAGAAAACTATCTCAGAGGATGAGAAAACAAACCAAAATGTATTCCAACTGTGTGACTGGACAAAGGGCAGATTGTTGCTGGCTTTATTCCAAGGAGAGAGAGGAGCCTAAAGACTTGGTCTTCAAAGATCAGCTGTGCACTTGGACAACTTAGCTTCTTCGGTCCACCAGGTTCTGAGCGTGTAAGGCCAATGATGCTGAACTACTTTGTACTTCCTGTTAAAGGAAGCCCCCCAGAACTTCTGCTGGCTACTGGTTCCTCAGCCTCTACCCACACATGCTTGGCTGGCCTGGCCTGGGAATACCGTCTTGGCTCCCCTCACTTCCAACTCTGCCGTAGATGGTAAACAATAATGCTTACATCCTGATCTTCAGCTAGATCTCCATTGATACTATTTAGTATTTATGTGATATCAAATGCTTCCTGGAGTCTCTTTCTAGGACTGGTAGAAGCCTGAATTTCTGGAAGGATGGGTTTCCTGGCCTTGCCTAAGTGAAGCAAGCTGTACTCTCTTCTGCTGACCTTCAGAAAACCCCCACCCCGAAAGAAGTTTGTAGGTCCTGGGAATGCTCTGGGACATCCTGCCTTACAGTCTAATCCTCCCCCATTCTTCTGGCTTTAAACCATGGAAGAATTGAGGGCAGTAAGCCAAGTTCTCCCAAATAACACCAAAAAATGGCACTTACTCATAAATGTGTTACATGGATCTGTTTTGCTTAATGATATCATGACTGTTGTCATGTAGAAAACATATAAATATTGCTGTATTGATTTTTTAGATGATAGTTAATGATAAGTTAAGAGCATAAGTTAAATAAACAGAAAGTGTAGAGAAATAGAGGCTAGCAAAGGGGACTCAGAGAACTGTCTAATCAGATCATGTTCCAGGCTTAATGTTTTCTAAGGATGAGCATCTTTTTGAAAACCAGAGAAACGATTTCTTGCTCATTTCTGAGTTGAGAGGAGATTGACCAGGTGTAGAAGGTCATGTGCCTATAGCCCTAGCACCAGGAAGAAGAAGAATTGCCATTAGTTTGAGGCTAGCCTTGGCTATAGAGTGAGACCCTGTTTCAAAAAATCAACAGCAACAAAAATTCAGAGAGTAGGCTTGAAATTTTACCTACCTGACTTTGCCCAGGATGGATAAATAGTTACACGGCCAAATATTGTTTCAATTCCAGGGTTAATGTATCTCAGAATAATGCGGAACAAGGAGAGGTTTGACTTGCCCACAGTCAACATTATCCTTACTTCATTCTGAAAAGTACCCCAAGAAAGGAAAAAATATCCATGACGTATAGAAGGAAACACTGATTAGAAAGAAATGCTAGCAAACAAGTGACTTTATTCTAGTTTCCCTATTAGATTTGTAGTACACACACACACACACACACACACACACACACACCACACAAATGCACACTTATACCCACTCATAATGCACCAAGTAACTAGGTGAAAAGAAGCAGGCCTAACAAGGAACCACAGTCACTTACAATTCCAGTTAACAGTGAAAATGCACTCCCTTCACAATTGGGTCCTTTGTAATCAGGCAGACAGAATGGAGTATTAAATGGGCTAGTTTAAGAGAGCCACAGTGACAGGGACAACCACCACTGGCTGAGAAAAATAAAAAGGCAGAAGAGAAGGAAAGTGTACCATTACATTAACGGTAATTACCACGAGTAGCGAGGCCCTCTCCAGGCTGCATTTCACATGCATAACATCTAAATTGTTGCAGCCAGTAATGGTGGGGAAGTGAAGGTTAAAAACCCCAAACAGGCCAGATGTGGTGGCACATGCCTGTAGTCCCAGCACTTGGGAGGCAGAGGCAGGTGGATCTTTGTAAGTTCAAGGCCAGCTAGTGAGCTCCTGGACCTAGTGAGTTCCAAGCCAGCTGGGGCTACAGGTAAACCCTGTTTCAAAAAGACCAAAAAAAAAAAAAAACCCACTAAATATGCCTTAGAAAGTTTTATCCCAAGCTCTTATCCAAACACAGCGTTACTTTTTGACCTAGAGAGAGGTCTTGTTGATCCCCAGTGATCACAAGAGTAGATTATTTTAATTCAGAACCACAGGCTATGTGTCCATATCCAGTTGTGGTCCAAAAAACATTTACAAAGTGTGGGAATCCCCACATCTGAGGTTCTTCTGGTTGCTCTCCCAGCTCTTCTAGTTTCAATGAAGAGGATTTCTGTTGAATAAGACACAGGCGACAGTAACAGTGACTTTGAGAGGATCGCTTGCTCTAGACACAAAAGCTGTGGATGACCCCTAGTTAGGAATTCCCATCTGCCCTCAGAACTTGATTAGTTTTCAGTTTTGATCCTAAGTTGGGAAATAAACATGTAAAGCTATATTAAAAGCAGAGTACAGTGTGCTCATTCAAGGACACCCAAAGGCTCCCTCAGAAAGTGCATCTTTAGATGTTCTTTTGGGTTGACCAATTATTCTTTCAAACTGCAAATGCCTGTCAGCAGGCCCATGCCTTCACTGTCTGAGTCACCCACCTCCTCGTATGAGTCCATAGAATCCACCATAATTTTCTGAATAATGAAGATCAGGGCAGTAAAGAAACTGAATTGATGTGTTTGGGAAGAAGGGGGAAATAGGAGGTATCTTATGGTTCTCTTTGGTAAGGCAGCTAAGAAGGCTGGTCAAAGCACCATCAAGGTCAATGGAGGCTCCAGCAGAACTGTGAACTGGTCCAGCTCTCTACTAGTCCTGGATCTGCTAGTACTGGGTTACCACAGCTGCCAGTTTACCTCTCTTATTCTGAATTTCTCTACCTCTCTTATTCTGAATTTCTCTTTAAAAAAGCACCAGTCAAAAGTTAGCAACACTAAGTGGGGTGTGGTGGCATACAACTGCTAACACAGCATTTGGGAGGCTGAGAAAGGAGGAATGAGAGCCTGAGGGCAGTCTAGGCCACACAGAAAGACCCTGTCTCAAAACAAAATAAACAACGAAAAAGAAAAAAAGAAAAGAAAAAACCCACTGGCTGTATTGTAATTATTCAAGTCAACTCATCTTCATTTTCCACAAACAGCAGCGAAAAAAAAGTCCTGCGCGTCATAACATAGTCTGATGCCACCTGAGCAATTTCCTTCTTTCTATAGTGTCGCCAGAGATGACCTATCTTTAATTTTTTCCATTTTCTGATTTAGTGGTCAAATTAAAGTAGTACTGGATTGCAAAATCCATACGTATGCTTATCTGTTAAAATCCAGCCCTATCCCAAACCTCCCAAGTTCGCCGCCAACCCTGGTCAGTACTCCAGAGAAAAAGAATGCTGGAATAGGTCTGGGTGGCAGTGCACCAGAGGTGCTGTGGATACAGGTATGGAATCCCCTCCAATGAGCTGCAGCTTTCTGGCTGTGTACCTGTACTGAGGTCATCGGGGTGTATCCTCTCCAGCTAAACTCAGGAAATACCAGGGGATCAAATTCAAATCGAAGGTCTCTGCCATTCGGTGCAGCACCATCTTCAACTTCATACTTCATGTGATGCAAATCCGGGAAATAGTAGTTATTTTCAGGCCTTTTATAAATAACAAGTAAATGTGGACACAAGCAGTTAGGTCCATTGATAATCTGAATAACCTCTGATCCTAATAGGTACTCTGATAGGACTCCACCAATTGACAAAGCCCGGGAAATAAGGACAAATGAAGGTAGCCCATGTTCTTTTCCTAAGTGATTGTTTTTATTCACAGAACAATCACACAAATCACAGTCAATGCCTACTCATTCTATGTACCAAACTGAGGAAGTCAATTAGCACAACTCAGTGTTCCTCAACATATCCTCTGATGTGTTCTAATGGTTGCCAACAATTAAATAAAATCAAGTAGATGATTTGCTCTTTGCTCACTCACTCAATCATCTATGCAATCACATTCACTTATTTTACAAATATTGCAATGTACCATACCCTGTGCTAAGCACCACAGATGCGATACTTTATATGTTAAACTTACAGGTTAAGAAGTCTCTAGATAGATGATAGATAGATAGATAGATAGATAGATAATATATATAATGTTTTTTTTAATTTGGGGAGGGTTGGAGAGATGGTCAGCTCTTGCAGAAGACCAGGGTTCTAATTCCAGCACTCATATGGCAGCTAACACCTGTTCATAACTCCAGTTTCAGACAATCCAATGTCCTCTTCTGTTCTCCTCGGGCATTGCATGACACGGGTGCACTTATATATACACAGGCATAACACACACACACACACACACACACACACACACACACATAAAATTAAAACAAATAAATTTAAATTAAAATTTTTTTAATTGGTTATTTTTGTTTTAGGTGTATAAGTGGTTTTCCCTGCATGTATGTACGTGTACCTGTGTGCACTTACAGGGCTGAAGGTGAAGTTTTGGGTCGTGAATGCTTCTTACATAGTCACTACTCCCTGGCAGGTTTTCTGGAAGTTTGTGTCTCACAACCCCTGCCCCCACTACCCCTGTTATATGACTCAATCCCATTCACAGGGTACTCCCTGGACTGGAGTCCTGGATGACTGAACTGCTCTCCCTGATTCTCCTTGTAACGGGAAAACCCACCCTGCAACTGCCTGGTATGATACAACTTCTACCCTAACCCCTTCCTCCTCCCCAAAAGGAGAAAAATATAAGGATCCCCAGTCTGTAAGGGAAGGTATACTCTCTTCTGGTTCCTGACCTGTGAGGAGATACCCACCTCCTCTAGCCCTTGGGTGGTGGGGGACTGCCCTCTCAGGTTTATTCTCTGATAAATCTGCTTGCTTTGTAGAAGGTCAGCTTCCCTTCATCTCTTTCTATTTCTTTACAGAGGCCAGAGGAGGTCATCAGATTCCCTGGGACTAGAGTCACAGACAGTTGTTAGATACCACGTGGGTACTGGGAACTAAACCCAGATCCTCTGCAAGAGAAACTAGTGTTCTTAATGCTAAGCCAGCTCTCCAGCCCCAATTTATTATATTTCTATACAATTTGTACATTTTGTGTATGTGTGGAGGAGGTGGTAAGCATGTCCTTCAGCGCTCATGTGCAGCTCAGAGGACAACTTGTAGAAATTGGTTCTTTCCTTTCACCATGTGGGTCCTGTGGCTGAAAGTCGGGTCATCAGCCTTAGCAACAGATGTCTTTACTGGCTGAGCCATTTCTACATATTTTTTGATCATCAGAATGACTTCCGTATGCTTTGTTTTCTCTGAAACTATAGGTCAGTGGATGGATTCCTCTGACGGGCCCAACTGTGACAGTCACAAAGAAGGATAAAAAGTACTCCAGAGCCTTGCGGCCCTCACAGGGGGAGTTCTTCAAAAGGCACACTGCCCAGTCTGGTAGCAAATTAACAACAGTGAGTGAATTTAAAGCCATAAAGACCAATCAGTAAAACGGAACACAAGGAAATGCCAGTACCTGGGACCACAATCAAGAAAGCCTAGATTTCTAGAGGGAATTTATCCTTGGGTATGCTCACTTCACTGATGCAGTAATTCTACACTCAGGAATCTTTTCTAAAGGATGATTATATATCTTGTCAAAGATTTAACACAAATATTTTAACACATTGATAACTTGGGAAAAACATGACTGAACCAAAAATTAAGAAATGTAGAAATTCTGAAATATTATATAACTATTAATATTGAGAACTTTTTAATGATATTAGAAATGTTTATGATATTACATGCAATGAAGAAATTAAAAAGTGAAAATGTGGGGCTAGAGAGATAGCTCAGCAGTTAAGAGCACTGACTGCTCTTGCAGAGGACCTGGGTTTGATTCCCAGGACCCACATGGTAGCTAACGACTGTCTGTAACTCCAGTTCCAGGGGATCCGACATCCTCTTCTGACTTCCGCAGGCATTGCATGACACAGATGCACTTACATATATGCAGGCAATACACTCATAAAAAATATACATTACAAAAATAAAAATAATAAAAAAGATGTATTCTAAATTTCAAGGTATACTTTTATATGCTAAAATATTTTAAAAACCAGTATTTCACCTCTAGGTAGGTAATTTCATTCCCACTTGGTTGTATTGTTTCCTCCTTAAAATAATTCAATTACTTGTATCACTAGGGAGAGAAAAATATGTTTACTTAAGATTAAGATTAGCTCACTTATCACAATGGTGGAAAGAGGCAAAATGCGGTTGAAACATGTTTGTGAACTCTACAAAGTTCTCTGGTCCATCCTGAGGCTCACAAATCTGCAGGAAGACAAACTCTCAAGCATCTCTTTCTGCAGGTACCCTCTACTGAAATGCCTAGCCAGGAAGGTCAATCACAAAGACTGAGGAAGCACACTGTTGGGTGGCCCTTTTAGACCCCAAATGTTGGGAATACTGAGGGACAGAAGGACCACAGTGAACACAACTGACAGAACCACATAAAAGATTGTTCTACTGGACTCCCCCAGCCTCCTTCACCCTCCCAGCTCCCCCATCCTATCTCTCCTCTTAGCCTGGGCACTGGCCCATTTCTTGTCTTGGCACCCCAGACCTCTGGACTGACCTCTTGGCCTGGACCTCCCACTGCTTCCTGATCCTTTGCATCCAGACTAACCCAACTCATCACTCTACTCTCTGGGAGCCTGCAGGGCCTATTCCTTCCCCACCTCCCTTTGTATGGCTTGGCAGCCCATCCCCCCAGCATCCTGGGGCCAGGGTAAGTTCTGTGGTGCCCACTGCACCTTGACTCCCCCAGCCTTCTTCACCCTCCCAGCTCCCCCACCCTATCACTCCTCCTAGCCTGGGCACTGGCCCATTTCTTGTCTTGGCACCCCTAACCTCTGGACTGACCTCTTAGACCAGACTCCCCACTGCTTCCTAATCCTTTGCATGCAGACCAACCCAATTCATCCCGTTAGTCTAGTTGAATGGATTAAGAAACAAAACCCATCTTTTTGTTGTCTGTGAGAAACTCATCTCACTTTCAAGAACAGGCACTACCTTAAACTGAAAGGATAGAAAAATATATATATACCAAGCAAATGGTACTAAGAAAAAAGGAGGCATTGCAATTTTAATATCTGACAAAATAGACTTCAAACTAAAACTAATTAGAAGAGATAAAGAGGGCCACTTCATTCTGATCAAAGGAACAACTGACCAAGAAGGTATTATAATCATGAACATATAGTCACCAAACTCTGGTGCATCCAACTTCATAAAAACAGTACTACAGGACTTTAAGACCCAGATTAATCCCAATTCATTAATAGTAGGAGACTTCAATTGTTTCAATTAGATAGGTCAACAGGACAGAGAATTAACAAAGAAACATCTGAATTAAACAATACCATACATCAAATGGGCCTAACAGACATCTACTGAATATTTCACCCAAGCACCAAAGAATATACTTTCTATTCAGCGCTCCATGGAACCTTCTCCAAAATCGACCATGTACTGGGGCACAAAACAAACCTCAACAAATTAAAAAAAGACTGAAATAATTCAATGCATTCTATCAGACCACAATGCAGTAAAGCTTAAACCAGACATCAACACTACATGAACACATGGAGATTAAACAACACATTCCTGAATGGGTCAAAGGAGAAATTAAGAAAGAAATAAAAGTATTCCTGGAACTAAATGGACAATACAACACAACAAAACCTCTGGGACACGCTGAAAGCAGTCCTTAGAGAGAAGTTTATAGCTCTAAGTGCCTTAATTAAAAAATCAGAAAGAACACAAATAAATGACTTAACATTGAAGCTTGTGGGACTCTGTTTCCATATGGTCGTGCACCCCCTCCCAGGCTCTTACAATTTTTCTTCCCCCTATTTTATGAAGGTCCCTAAGCCCTGGGTGGGTGGAGTCCTGTTCATGGACCAGCAATCTGCAAACTCTGGTTCTTTGAAAAGATAAACAAGATAGACCATTAGCCCAGTTAAACAAAAGAAAGAACAACTCCAAATCAACAAAATCAGAGATGAAAGGGGAAACATCACAACAGACACCAAATAGATCCAGAATATTATAAGGGAATACTTTAAAAACCTATATGGTACTAAACTTGAAAACCTAAAAGAAATGGACAGGTACCTAAAACCATGGGAACCACAAAAACTAAACCAAGAAGAGATTAAGAGCTTAAACAGACCCATAACACATAAGGAAATTGAAACAGTAATACAAAACCTCCCAACAAAAAAAGCCAAGGACAGCAGAATTCTACCAGACATTTAAAGACAAGCTATACTCAATACTATTTAATTTATTCAAAAAGATAGAAATGGAGGGAGGACTTCCAAATTCCTCTGTACAGCCAACATCACTCTAATACCAAAGCCATGTAAAGACACAACCAAAAAAGAAAACTATAGACCCATATCCTTAATGAATATAGATGCAAAAATTCTCAACAAGATACTTGCAAACCGCATACAGACACACATCAAAAAGATTATCCACCATGATCAAGTTGGCTTTCTTCCAGAGATGCAGGGATGGTTCAATACATGTAAGTCAATAAACTTCAAAAACCATGTAAACGGACTCAAAGACAAGAACCACGTAGTTATCTTAATAGATACAGAGAAGGCCTTTGACAAAATTTGATATGCATTTATGTTTAAATTCCTAGAGGGAATTGGACTGGAGGAAACATACCTCAACATACTTAAAGCCATATACAAGAAACCCACAGTCAACATCATTCTAAATGAAGAAAAACTGGAAGCATTCCCATTAAAATTAGGAACCAGACAAGGCTGCCCACTATCTCTACTCCCTTTTTAACATAGTGCTTGAAACTTTTGCAAGAGCAATAAGACAAGAGAAGGAAATTAAAGAAGTAACAATTGGAAGAGATCAAATGATCTCATTTTGCAGACAATATACTATAT